CGGTTACATCATTTATTTTTGAGACACAAAAAAATGTCATTGCCCGACTTGAATTCAGTCAGGCTCTCGCTCTCTCGCCGCGGCTACACTTCGCTACAACGTGTACAAATATTTTAAGTTTTTCCAGAAAAAAACCCTAAACCCTATTTACAAATTACACGAGAACTATTAGAGACAAGAAGAACGTGTCATTTCATTCTTAAAATTAGTTATAAAGAAAATAATGTAAAAATATTTAGTGATGACTTATTTTGACAGTTGCTAACACCGTTGATACGTGGAGGCGAGATGTATTATGAATGAGAATGAAAGAGACTACTTTAGTGCGCTCTATTGACGGCTGTTGCCAAGGGAAATTCGGGCAAGGACTGCTTGTGCCATTTTAAAATGCATAATGTTACGACCAATCGGTACAAAATGTAACTGAAAATGGAGTGAGGTAACTATAAAATAATGAAACTAGGTACAAAGAAAACGTTTTGGTGCGTAAAAGAACAGTTAGTGGAAAGGTTTCTTGACATCATACTACGTTAGCACTGTCCCTTCCTTGTTGTTCATTTTTCTTCCCCTTTTCCGAGGGCAAAGAGAAACTTAATTGGAGGCTCGCCTACTCAGACTCAATGAAAAATTACGAGCGAAACGAGCATACGCCCGGGAATTCTGCGTTCATTCGAGACGAAAGAAATGCTTGCTTGTCTAAACCTCCTTGAACTTAGACAAATGTATGCTGACGAACGCACTTCAATGAAATATATTGCTCATTAAGGGAGTTAATTTAATTCCACCTTCTCAAGTCCATGTGGACATAATATGAACGTTTGAATGGTGATTATAAGATTGTTCCGAGATTGTTGTTTCGGATTACAATTTAATAGGATTAAACGCGTTCGATGTACAGGTTGTCTTGAGATTGTTAAGGCATTGGATACCTACTTTTTTGAACAGTTTTTTATTGCGCGGAAATAAGTTCTATTATATATTTATAGAGCTAACTAGATAACAAGTTATACAACCTTTATATATAAAAGGCAACGGTTACTGACTGATCTGTCAACGCACAGCCCATACCACTAAACGGATTGCGCTGAAGTTTGGCACACATATTGCTATCATAATATTGGCGTTCGCTAAGAAAGGATTATTCAAAACTCACCCCCCTAAAGGATAAAACGGGAGTTCAAAGTTTGTATGGGGAACAATTTCACTTAATATGAAAATAAATTATGTTTGATACATATATGTTTTTATACTTATTAAATCAATTTAATACAAACTGCTGAGTTAATTATTATCGATGCGTTGTGTTTATGAACAAGTAAACATTATTTTAGTTGGTAATTATCATTTCCTTATTTTCTATCAATGAAGTTAGAAGTCCACTTTTGTGTGGAAACACCAGATCCCTCGCTCAAAATTTAGCACCATCCGTAAATAACATCCACCTTAGAAAAGACTAAACTAAAATAACACTACTTACCTTTTATTGGGTCGTTAGGTTTAAGACAGGAAGGTGAAAATAGCTGAACTGGCATATTTTTTTTGCTACGTCATCTATCTTCTATCTTGAGGAGCTCAATGGCGCAAGTGATTAGCGCGTTCGGCTGCGATCGTTAAACTTAACTTTCGCAGTCATTGGATGGGTGACCAAAAATTTACTATTTCGAGCTCCTACGTGTTTCGGAAGGTACGTTAAGCCGTTTTTCCCCGCTGCATCTGCAGTCGTCAGCACCCACCAACTGGGCCCGCGTGGTGGGTCATGGCCCAATCTCCCTATTCTAACCATAGGGAAAGCCTGTGTCCCAGCAGGGGGACATTAATAGGCTGATGATGATGATGATGATCATCTATCTTTGTGACTAGTCTCCCATAGTCACGTAACATCAGGTAGAGTAGGGTAATTTGATGCACTTTTATAAAAAATCGGGCAAATGCGAGTCGGACTTGGTCGCCGAGGGCTCCGTACAAATTTATGGGTACGCAAGATAAACAGCCATCTACTTAGCAGTTGGATTTTTTCACAGTTTCAAGGGACCTAGTCTCGAGTGTATGGTTTAAATGTCAACTGGATCCCTCCACGCATTCCCGAGATAAAGGGTCTTGACAGACAGACGGACAAAAAAGGGATCTTATAAGAGTTTAGTTTTTTTTCTTTAGAGGCACAACACCTTAGAAATCATTGGTAGGTCAGTGTAATAACTAATGTACCCAGATATAAAATAAAAGATCGCCTAACAATGCGTACAATGTACTTACTCAAGTATATTCCATCCGACACTAGAAATACTCTTCACTGCAACAGCATTGAGAAAAAAACTTTTATAAATTAAAATAAAACAGTATAAGCCGCTGCGTGTTCCATCCGTTGCTAGCGTAGTAGGTACTGTTGTTTTTCTACAGGAGCAGAATACTCTGAGTAAATAGGTATGTGTGGTATTTTCCACATAAACATTCACATAAAGTTTACCAGTTCCCCCCTAATTGGTTAACCAGCTGTATGCGGGATTACGCTAGATGTCCGTTATTGCGCTTTCGGGATTTCCCTTAGAGGCCGACTGCATAATGCACATGCCAACGATTAGCTGGATGCGTTCACCACGTACTCTGCAACATTTATGTACTATCGAACAAATTTATCCCTGACCCGCTTGCCCGATAATTCGCTTAAAGATGTCAAAACAGACAAGTTTTCTTATAAAGAGAATGCGTAATTAAATCTTCTAACAACAAGATCATTGTACTCATCTGGATCAAAGTTTTTTAAAAATTGATTTGTTTTCAATGCATAAGATCACCTTTTATATAAAATTGGAATAATAGTTTTAATTTTGATTTGGCTTAAATGTATTAGAAACTCTATTGATTTCTGATATAATGAAAAACGTTGGTAAACTTATAGGAAAATCTTTGCTATAGACAAGACTCTAGTCTGATTTCATTATAATGTAACTTTAACATAAAATCTGTCATGTTGAATTGTTCAAAAATTAACAAGTATTTTTCCAATGATAGGTACATTTAAGCGAAAGTCTACTCTATTGTTTTGCAATGGTTGTAATAAAATAAGCGTAGGTATAATGAGTCAGGACAGGAATCAAATTGGCTGATAGTACATGATTTGGAGAAACTCTGCTCACAATATATCTTTACAGACATGGTAATGAGGTTATAAGAAAAAGTTTAATTCTTAATGAAACACTAACTAACGAAATCAATATCAGTATTTGCGTTTCTTTGATCGTCATTCTGATTTTCATAATTGTAGATGCAGCTACTTAAATTGGGATCCAAGTTACCTTACGCCTTGAACTGCCAACGATGAATTTATAAAAAAATAGTAAGCCGAGCAGTGTCATTATCATCATCATCAACAGCCTATCTTAGTCCACTGCTGGACATAGGCCTCTCCAAATGCACGCCACTCAGATCGAACTTGGGCTACTCGCATCCAGCTCCTGCCAGTCACCTTGCGCAAATCGTCACTCCATCGTACCTGAGGACGTCCTACACTACGTTTGCCTAGACGCGGTCTCCACTCTAGAACTCGTCTACCCCAACGGTTATCGGTTCTTCGGCAAATATGGCCAGCCCACTGCCACTTCAACTTGCTAATCCGGTGGGCTATGTCGTTAACTCTGGTTCTCTGTCGGATTACCTCATTTCTGATGCGATTCTCAGGGAAACGCCGAGCATAGCCCTTTCCATAGCGCGCTGAGCGACTTTGAACCTGTGTACCAGCCGTACCACCAGTGTCCACGTCTCGGCTCCGTATGTCATCACAAGTAGGACGCACTGATTGAAGACTTTCGTTTTTAGGCACTGTGGGATCGACGATGTCAGGACTTGACGTAGCTTCCCAAACGCTGCCCAACTTAGCTGAACTATTCTATTCACCTCGATTATATTCACCTCGCCGTGCAGTGTATTCATGGTGAAAGACAAAAGCTAATTTACTTAGCTTTCCTTATTTTCCGACCATTCCCCACAGCGCCTATTCGAAAGGAAAAGCAGCCATACATGCTGTGAAACTTCAAACTGCAGTCCAATGACAGACAGATAAAAAGACGAATGTGCACCGGTGGCTTAGTAATAGATATTCGTTGGTTACGGAATCTACAAATGTGTAAATCCGGAATTTGAAATTATTCTTTCCATTTACTCTGTCATTTTTCATCAATTAAGTGAGAGTGGCATGTGTTTAATATTCATCTCGCATCCCATGATACCATTACCGTAATTATATTTAATGAAGTGCAGCGTTATGCAAGTAATATTAATAAGGACAAAATTACCATGCTTACATTAAACGATTTAATCGTAGAAAAAGATACCTTTGAACAGGCGAAAGATTTTTTTATGTAACTTACTTACATACGTAAGCAATAAAATTGTGTCAGTGTTTGACTTACCTTTGTAGTAATATTTACAAATCTGTGAAATATTCATTCTTTATATTCAATTTATTAAAATTGAACAATAAACTTTTCTAAGTACTTTTGTTAGTACTCACCATAATTTACCATAATTATAAAAAGTCTATTAAAGCAAAAACTTTCTTATTTGAGTTTAGGACATGAACCTTTACTTTAAACTTTTTTTATGTCTTAGTACAACTCAAGTAAACGGCTTGTAAGTTAGCTTATCACAAATATAATTAAAAAAGCTACTTATAACAGGACTTTAAGTACTCTAAGCTCAATATTTATCTTCAAAGTAAATTAGTACTACATTTCCTTCTTTGCATTAGAAAAAAAACTTACGTTTTGAGTTTGTCCAAATTTTGTTATGGCTTTAAATTTATTTAAAATTGAACCCGCTCCCAGAATACAAAATAAAATAATAACAGCAGGATAGCAGCCAATTCATCGTTTTATTTTCCATTATTCTTTTTCGTTCTTTATCAATTATTTACAATTCATTTATCACAATTTCACAGTCATTACATAAAATACTATTTACAAAAATTACATTTTTTTACTAATTTCTTTCGCTATAAATTTGTTCTATACACAGCTTTCTGGTCCTGGTATTTCTTCAGCTATGAGATGTTCTCTCCTACTTAACGTCATATTTCCGGAAGTTAAAGGCTTCGCTGCTGTTGCCGATCTCGGTGACAATAACTGTGGAAGAACAATTTTATGTAAAATTCATCTACATAATGGATATAGTGTTATTTTTCGGATAATGACTTAAAATAGCTACGGTGTAAATTTTTATTTAATTTCTATAAAATTGGGATCACACTACCAGGAAAAACGGTTAATTATCGCGATGATATGCCATTAGCGAATCAAGTCAACACCTATTTAGTTAATACCAAACGTTGTAAAGGTTTGCATTATATTTTTTACTTATTTTATAGCTCTATTTTAAGAGAATCTGTGGGTGCTATAAATATTTTATATTAGCTAGGATAAGCAATTATTACACTGCGCCGATCGCCCTAGATCGGGTCCCTTACTCCCTTACTCAATCGAAAGAGTGGGCGCCGCCCCTAGCTAGGGTAAGCAATTATTACACTGCGCCGATCGCCCTAGATCGGGTCCCTTACTCAATCGAAAGGGTGGGCGAGGCCCCTAGCTAGGGTACGCAATTATTACACTGCGCCGATCGCAATAGATCGGGTCCCTTACTCCCTAACACGCATTACACCACCCTAAGTCAGGGTAAGGGTCCTATAAAATTGGGTAGCAAATCCCGCTTAGTACTCAATTAAATAACCGGGCCAGTAAAAATCAAGCTCGCGCACTAATGGACCTTTCTGCAGAAACTCATAGTTTTGTGAAGTAAATGAAAAATACGATTTTCATATTTACCCTTTAACTTTACTAGAATTCCGGGATTATAGGTCAGCGGGAAGGAGGTATATTTATTTGGAAAAGTTTTACTTCTCTACATAATGTCTTTTTTTCAGGTTCACAAACTGTTATATCGATTTATGTACAAACAAGCTCATTAAAAATATACGCCCCTTCTAACTCGCTTATGAATGTTTTATTATACGAGGAAGATTATTTAGATTCTTTTGTTAGAAACACTAGTTTTCCTTAATTGGAGTAAAAGAAAATATAGTTTATATCAGTTGCTCATTTTGTTTTACTTTATAAAAGTTTCAGAAACGAGCATAGGTATGTGATGGGTTTCTCCAAATGTCTACGTATTATTAAATATTGGAACAACAAATAACCTTATTCGACTTCGAAACTATTCACGTTGTTATTATTTTTCAAAGTTGTTTTAATGAAACGAAGTATTGTGATAATATATAAAGAATACTCTTTTAATGTTAACATTAGATGTCGTCTCTGAAATGTTAAATATTTTTGCCCATTCCGTTTATGTCTCCGCGTAACAACTCAATTTTAATTTTTTAGTGTTTTATGCTTAGTCAAAACCAATAAATAACATATTTGCCAACCATTTTCATCCACAACAAGTCCTTAATGACTGTAAAATTGACCGGTGACTATTTCAATAACTTCACGTTTTATATCAATGAAGCTAGTTTAGATGTATACAATTCATGCGTCCTGCCTGGTAGGTAACGATAAATTGCCAAACTTTTTTTCAACAGAAAATTCAAAAATATATTCAATCCTATTTCATAATTGGAAAAGGTTTTCGGAATTTGTAATCAAATGAATGCTTTATTTTTATAAAGCATGTTTTTTTATATATTAAACATTCAATCTAAAACAAAAGTTTTCACTAGTCACATAATGTTTTTTTACATCATTCAAATTACATTTATTTGTAATTCCATGAACAGAGATAAAACAATGCGTTACTAGTCCAAGTTTATTCTTCGCTTTTATTATTGAAGGAATAATTAAATATTGAATTAAAAAAATATAGTATTTTAAACATTGGAGTTCTTATTCCAAATGTTTCTCTTTCGGTATCATTCTTTTACAATTAACATAAAAGCAAATAGTATCTTCTCATATTATGTTATTTATTTTACGATAGCTGATATTCTACTCACTGAAGTTATAAGTTGCTCATAACTTTTCTTTTATTTAACAAATTAAAAAAATCTTTTCTCTTTTATTAACAGGTATAATATCAACAAGATACATAAGACTCACACAACAATATTTTTTCATATCCTTCAAATATAAAACTTAAAACGCAATAGTCATTGAACAGAATATCTGTTAATATAAAGGTATGCACTCACGGTTCGCTGGTCATATGAGCGCGAGTGCACCGAATTGTCACTCTCGCACCACTCGGCTTCCTGAAGTGCCCCATTTTTGACAACTTCAGCGCTTTTTACGGGAAGTGCGCTGTCTAAAAATGCCAGTTAGTTTTAGTGAAAACATAGGTACTTACTTTTAATATTTCTTTTACGTACTTGCACGTATTCTAAGCATTTCATAAAACGCCTTTAAATAGATGGCTTTTAAAAACGTATAGCTTTGAAATCTTATGACTACGAAATCTTTTCAGTCCATAATTTCATGCCAAATTTAATTACGTATGACCCTTTTCAATGTGTTTTTTTATTAGAAATGTACCCACTAAAAACAGTACTGTTAAATTGTTTAAAGTAGTAAATTTTAACGTTAGTAAAATTAAGGATACTTAAATTAAATGTAGAATTTTCAATATTATTAATTTAGTCATTTACAGATAATTATATCTTTAGGCAACCATAAGCGAAGATTAAAAAGTAATTAATAATTTTCAAATATGCTGAATGTCAAAAGTATCTAACCGTTTAACTATATTATTCGAAAGAGTAAATACAAGGTGCTGGGGCCGATATCACATTGGCTGCCGCAATACATTTTGTTTCATGGCGCTGCGGTTAAAATGTCTATGCAGTATTTAGAGTTGTGCGGGATGATTCTATAGATGAAAACCGCTATAACCGCAGCAACCGGTGTATGTGATAACCGCCTAACAGCCACACTCAGGAACATCAATTTTAATCCTTGAGTTATGTTACAGCTGATGTCACTTTTTTGCGAAAATGATAGTATAAAACAATGCATCATCTTTGACAAACATTAAAGGACAATGGCGAAATATTTGTTGAAGTAAATCTTTAGCGTCTATAGATGTCACTATCAAAACTGTTAATAAAATAATCTCAAAAGATTTATTAAACAATTGAGGAGGGTTGTCTAAGTCTGGAATTAAAAACTTAATAAAGGGAAACACAATTGACTATCATTTTTTTTTTATTTTTAATGTGGCTTGGCATCGTGGCTTTTGAGCCATTTATTTTATGTGATTTTAGTGATAAAATCAACTTTAAATATGTTTTTCGCATGTTTTCATCGCTTTACGCTTAAACTGTATTTAATCATCTATTAAAAATATCGGGAAACATTATTTTTCAATATTATACTGAAACCATGATAAATAATCTCCACAATACAAAAAGAGTATGGCGCCCATTCTAACGCAAAAAACTATAACTGTCACTGTCATGCTTGTCATCGAATTGTTGTTGATAATGTTATCTTTGACGTTGCTTGTGCATAGGTGCATGCGTATTGCAAAGATTTAAATCGGCGTATTGTGTTTTTCGAGATTTTATGAGACTTGGACTGCATTTGTACTTTCGAAATCTTTCCTTGCGACTGTTGAGTAGTGCTTGCCTTCTTCTTACTCTACTTCCGAATCTCATATTTTGCTGTGGATTTTGGACACGATTCTGTCCCATACTGTAGTTTTTATTTCATTATATCTACTATCTACGATATTGTGATCAAAGATGTGGAATAAAAAATATATAAAAAAAATGGGTCCGTGTACTTATGTAGGCGCGTGAGAAGTTATCCTTTTTTGGCATCGTTTAAAATTAGTTTTTAATTGCATGCAAATAATTAATTACAATAAATTAATAAAAAGTCTGGAAAAGGACACAGTCAATAAAGTTCATTTTAATTTGAAAAAATAAATAAATAATCAAAATATTCAATTAAAATCGCTACTGAATATAATTTATTAGAACATATGTGATTTGCACTTGTATGAAATTCAAACACGTATTCCGAATATACAAACTAGAAACATGTGGATAAATATTACAAATATGAATACCTATAACTATTACTTTATTACAAAAAATAAAGATGTGGTTTTTGGTTCTACTACACCAATGGTCAAGAGATGGCGCTGTAGTCTCCTGAATCGCGCTTTGGTTCCGTTGTTCCAGATTATTAAATACTTTTGATATTATAAATATGAATACCTATAACTGTTACTTTATTACAAAAAATAAAGATGTGGTTTTTGGTTCTACTACACCAATGGTCAAGAGATGGCGCTGTAGTCTCCTGAATCGCGCTTTGGTTCCGTTGTTCCAGATTAATAAATACTTTTGATATTATAAATATGAATACCTATAACTGTTACTTTATTACAAAAAATAAAGATGTGGTTTTTGGTTCTACTACACCAATGGTCAAGAGATGGCGCTGTAGTCTCCTGAATCGCGCTTTGGTTCCGTTGTTCCAGATTAATAAATACTTTTGATAGGCCTTCACAATGCAGTCGTTTGCACCCACTAAATAGAGATTCTATTTCTATTTTGTTGGTAGATTTTCTTAATGTGCGGTAAACACAAAAGTAACAGCAATGAAGTTGGTCGCTTTAGCTTCATGCTGTTAATATTTTGTGTTACGGTGATGCGCGCGCATCTTAAAATTTCACTCTCATCATTTTTTCATAACGCGCCTAAACAAGTATAACTTCAAAAGTGTTTCATATTTAATTAATATCCCATTAAGTACACTATTAGAAATCCTTTTTTCTACTTTATTATTGCAGTGGGCATTTTCAAATTCTTAAGTCCTTCCTACAGCACAGACATTGTATTCGAACTCAATAACTCGTGTCTGTTATTAAATATTTTGACGCGGTTGGTCAGGACCTACGCCCACTAAGCATACATTATAAAAAACACTTTTTTTTCGTCACTAATCTATGGGACCGGTATACTTCTATAGTTCCGTTCCACGTATTTTTTATTTTGATATAAAAATAATCTTGAAAATACTTTTATAATTCGTTTTTATATTTCTTGGTATGTCATAACCTCCAAACCTTCAAAGTAGAATATCTATAAAATCAGACTTCCTATAATAAAAGAAATAAGACGAATCAAATCGAGAATCTAAACTCTATAATTTAATATGCAATTCATTTATAGACACAAAAAAAAATCCAACAAAAATTTTGTATGGGAGTTCGCCATTGTCCTTTAAAAAACGGTTCTTAATAGGACCATAAGTGTTATAGATTTAACAAGGGTAGCAAGCAATCAATTAGCCCTACTGATTGTATGCATCCATAACAACCTGTAAAACCTAGCAATTCTGTAGTGTCATTCGCACGCTGTCTACTCTCACCCCATTCCTTGCACTGTATTGCTCTGGAAACAAGGAACAGTGTAACAAGGGGCACAGAGTAACATGAGGAATATCTCTGTCCTTTTCTTATATGTCTAAGGTCTGTCTTGACGTGGTTTTATTAGTTTCATATGCCGCCATGTAAAGCATTTGTCATTAGACGTCAAATGGTCGAGTAAAAAAGAGAGATAATCTAACCTTAACAACGATAACCTTGAGGGTAGGGTTCAGATTATCAGAATATCATGTACCTAAATGTAAAGTGATTACAATAAATTATTATTATAATTAAAAAAAAAAAAATTGTTATACTGTGCCCCTTGTTACAGTTACCTCCACTTGACCCTGCACACAGACAGACGCACAAAATCACAAAAAGGTTGTATTTAACTGCGGATTTCTGTCAGGTCCAATTCCTGCAAAAAAATGGTTATTTTAGAAACTGGCGGAATATTTACCTGGTTGTGGGTTTAAAATATCCGGCTGTGCTTGCTTAGATGGCTTTAGCGTGTATGCCACGACGTACTGTCCATCACCAGCATTGAGTTGCAGCTCTGAAGTTTGTTGCTTAACTGGCGGTTTACTTCTAGAAGAAAATGAAAAAAGACCTAATTTTAAATCTGAAGTAATGACAAGAACTGTATACAACTCAACTCAACTCAAACTCATTTATTCAGTCTAGGCTGTTACAAGCTCTTGTGAAAGTCAAACGCTACGCCATCGGTTCGTAAATCTACGGCGGGAGACCTTGTACTGAGAAGAACCGGCAAGAAACTCAGCAAGGGCTATTTTTTTCTCCCTGTTTTTTTTTCATACAGTGTCGTCAATTGAAAGATGACATCAATAATTAAAAACATGTGTTGATGTCAACTTCCATCACATTAATATTATTAATTAACAAAAGTTAAGTATAACTAGGTAATATTTTTAAATTTAGAAGTGGCAATTAAACAATTTTCAACCAAATCAGCAAAGTAAAACGACTTAATCTATTATATTAAGCCCAAGGTGACATATCATTTATGAAATCTTTAACTGTGTAGTAACCTTTCTTAAGGAGACTTGTTTTTATATACACTTTAAACTTATTAAAAGGCCCTCAGCCCCAGCCCCCGGGGACGTATGGAATAGCGTCACCCCGGGACTGGGTCTGACAAATCAGTAAAGATAAAGACAAAAATACACACTTAGACATTAATCAGACCACTGTAATTACGTGAATAAATAAATATATATATATATATATATATAAAAGAAAACTTTAAAGCAATAAATAAATAAAGTTTCGTGCATTAACCCGTAAAAACTAGTTTTATTTAAAAAAAAACGGGAAAATAAACTACTTTTAAAAGATAACCTCTTTGTGATTGGTTAAAAAGATATTTAAACCACATTTAAACAATTGTATTTATACCTACCTTTTCCTTCGAAGAAAATACGCAGTGAAAGTAGCTGCGCATGAGCACACGACGATTGTCAAAATGATTGCCCAAAATGCAGTTTTAGTGACGCCTGCCATAAGATGAACACTTCCGTCTGAGACAATAGAATAATTGATTAGCAAAGATTTATTAAAAAATAGTAGACTCAAACAACTCCAAATACTACTGTGTTTTACTGACTACTGGTGCTATAAGGTACTGCCAGTCACAGTAAAGTCAAGGCCATTCATCATATTGGATACACTTGTAATTTGAATATCTCTGATTAAATGGTAACCACTTCCAATCACAAACGTACTATATACTAAAGCTCCTTCATAATCTTTAATTCTAGTTATACTGGCATGTTACTTAAATGAGACTGATTTTAGAATAAACATTATCATCAAGTATACGACTGTACACCATTTTGTATAATATACACATCAAAATAGCCTAAGCATCACGCATCATTTACAGAAACTGTATGTTTTATTAATTGACGTTTGTTATTGTTTTCAAAATTATAATTGGTTGAGTTTTAAAATAGAAATTTTTTGATTGTGTTTATAATAGTATAACTATAGGTATTGCAATAGTAAAAATCGTTCAAAAGGTTAAAACCGTACAACATGCATACTGTCGCTTAGACTTTTTTGATGATAATATATATTCAAACCTCCATATGTGTTTGCTCCCTTGTTTATTTTAAGAAAGTACATACTATACTATACGTATACTTTCCTTGCAGGTGCTAGTTCGTAAATTATACTAAGAATATTTAAATATAGCATCACAATGATATATTGTGATACGATGTCTTGGACCTCAGGTTTTAGGTGATTTTTGATATTTCGTTGCCATTTTTATTAGTAAATATTGGTGTACTCAGTGAGGTGGATAGTAAAATTATAAATTGAATCAAAAATACTTTCTAATACGGGCACATTTATAACATACAAATTGAAATGATTTAGTTACTCTACAATCATTTAATTTATTTAGTAGATATTCGTAAACACATAACATTTACAAAAAAATACTGTATTATAATACAAACAAAGGAAATAAACAAAAACAAGGAAACTCGGAAGCTTTCCGGAGAATTATAGTATCATGTCAATAACTTGATGGAGAGTTAAAATGGCAGGTAACATTCGTCATAAGATGAAAATATCGTAGAAATATTGCACAGGAAACTGAAAATGATGAACTTTCGGTAAAACGTTATTTGGAAGTACGTGGGCGCACTCTCTTCGCGCCTATAATTTTATCATGTACGTATGGTACGTATGGTAGCTACTTATATATTTTCTATTTCTAACCATGAATCCATGTGTGGTAATGGGTAGACATGCTCTCTTAAAAATCTCTTCGGCGGTGTCGTATGAGGCGTGTTACGTTCCCTATGCGGTTACGTTCCCTAAAAAATGGTTGGGAGAAGTGATGGCTGGTTCATGTGTGATGCTCGTAAACGGATACTGCCAAATTAAATGAGTCTGCTCATGCTACATTGGGTACTTTTTAGGGTAGTTTTAATCGTATTTTTTTTGTCTGTTTAAGCTGTAAGTTAATTAAGCATACTAAGACTATGTGTTAAGTCAGTATTTTATAAATTCTGGATCATAAAATTTATATTATTTATATTTATAGTGGAAGGTGACTTCATGAATCATTTCACGTTGTAGTCAATTTTATTTTATTTTAATATAATACAATACAATACAATACAATACACAATACTTTATTGAAAATACCACAACACAGAACAGAAATGAGGGACATTACAATTGTAAAAAAGAGTGCTTCAATGGGCGGTCTTATCGCTAAAAGCGATTTCTTCCAGACAACCTTTGGATGGAGAGGATTGACAGAAAGCTGGAGTCGGCGGTGTCAGTAAAAGAAACAAGGGATTTAAACGAATTTGTGAATTAATTATATATACATACATAAATACACATCATATATACATATTATATACCTATACATATTACATATATATACATACACTACACATATATAGGTTTAGTCCAGTCAACAGAGATAAAAATGCAGCTACATCGACAAATAGTGATTCACAACAAGATTTTTAAAGACATTAATAGATTGTGCTCGTCTTATGGATACTGGAAGAGAATTCCATAGGCGTATAGCTTGGACGGTAAAAGAGCGACCATAGAAGGTTAAATTTTCTGATGACCTAAGAGATAGATAATAGTAACTTGAAACCTAAAATATCTCCAGAATATAAATACTATTGAAAAATACTTAATGCCAAAGAGTTGCGTTTTCAAATGTCGTTAAATATTGAAAAGACCAAAAACTCTCTTAATCTATAGAGTTATAGTAATCACTTATAATCATATATTATTATAAACAAGAGCGAAAATAAATCTTTCAGCATATTTTAGAGGTTCACGGCTTTGAACAAACAAACATTATTTATTATACACAACGGGTAGTTAAATAAATTTAAAGCTTAAACAATAATATGTATGGCTCCAATTTTACACAGCGAGACGCCTTGTTACTTGGAAAGAAATAAGTGTGTTTAGTAATAAAATAGGTATATTTAATAAAAATAAGTATTTCTAACAATACATCTTCAAAAGATAGAGGTACCTACCTAATGAGAAAGCACAAATTGTTTACATTTTGTCTCCAACATTTCACGAGCACTGTTTAGAAAGGTCTGCAGTCCAGACAGTCAACAGACAAGATTTAAGACTCAAATGAAAGTGTAATAAGTTCTGTGATTAGTTTAATTTGCAAACATCTCGTCACGATAAACTGTGCTCCGAACACCTCATCTACTTGTCAACATCTGTTGCACTTTGTCTAGACGAGACACTAAATTCTAATTAAAATGAGAGTTGTGCAACAACGCACTTGACTAAATACGATGACCCACTTACGTACGGTAATTTTACCTGTTTAGTTTCTAACACAGCAAAAACGGTGGAAACAGTAAAATTTGTTCCATGATAATTGAATTAATCTTAAACGTTATCAATTTTAAATGACCCATTAAAACATTTCCCAAATATAATGATGTTCTTAATACGTTTGAACAACCCTTTAAATCTGAAATAAATGATTCCATTAATGACGCGAATGCACAGCCAGTGATGAATGTTTAAGCAGCAAAAGAGGTATGTCAGAAACATGGCAAATGAAGATCAATTGTCTGTGCATACCCCTTTGGGAATCAGGCATGACATGTTATATGTGTATTTATGAGTTAATTTGATACGAAGTAATAAATTAATAAAATGGGACTGATCAGAAACGAGATGAGTTTTAAATATTTTTTACGTGTTTTTTTTTATATCAATGTTTTTATAAATATTGCCTTATTTTTAGAAGAGCTATCCTATAAGATTTTAGGTAAAACTTTAGGTAGGATTCAAATTTAAAGGATCACTTAGCTAATGGATTACCTATTTAGGGAATGATTTTCGTATTATTGGTGAAAACGGCCGTTATTATAGTCCAATCAACCAGTATAGATTACAACTCGGAAAGCAATTAAAGTGACCGATAAAAACAGTACCTACTTGAATATGTGATTTTGAGTTGACAAAAACCTTCATTTCATCAAATGAAGGATAGCACAGTCAATGGCGATATTGATACAACAAGAATTTAATAAACACACGAAAACTCATGTTTTTATGTTTATTTTTTAATTCTGTAAGTCGAAGTCGAAAAATAATTTGCAGACAACTTTTTGTTGATTGGTTCATATTAATTTATTTAGGATATTCAAACCTTCAAGCGCATAAGAAGTTTTATTAATCATCAATTTTGATTGTAATCAATATTTACCAAGTTTCTTTGTTTTACTTACGAAGGTTGAAGGCATGTTGAAGATGTTAGGAAAGGTATCCAAAAACTGTGAAAACTTTACCTGTCCTCCTTTCAGGGTCTTGGTAAGCCAATGCATGGACCATGATCCGTTCGGATACACCTTTATCGTTTCTTGAGTGAACTGTGAGTCGTAAAGAGTTCCCGGTAGACCACAACACTCCTGTTGGCACCAAAAAAACAGCTACGCCATCTATTGTGAGTAAAACAAATGTTAAGACTACAAAGGTTAGGACATGACGGAGTTGGAATCTTTTATTTGAAAAGTACCTAACTTCACTTCTTTATTTTATTAAACAAACTTAGTACTTTTGTGTAACTTTTTCAACAATACACAAGCAAGAAATGAAATACTAAATAAAAACCAAAACCAAGCTGGCTTATTATTAGATCGGGAACCACTGTCAAATATTAAAATTTAGGTTGATTATAATTATCTTTTTTAATACGTAAGTCATTTGAAGCGATTCTGAATAAGGGACACAAGTGATAGGTAATTTTCTTATTAAAAAATATGTCGATAATTCAAAGAAGTTCAAGTAAACACTTAAACTTAAAAAAAATATCATAGTTTGTAAAAATGGTTTTCATATTATACTCGTTGATCTCATCTAAGCTTCTAAGTCTCATAAAATATGCTTACTAACTTGAAAAGAAATTATACTTCGTTTGAATATGTTTACATTTCTTAAATTAATTCAACACAGATCAAACTGTTTACATTAAATGCGAATTCTAGGAATTAAATAGATATAAACTTTTCGTCTATACTTTTGCCCGCGTGGATTTGCTTTGTTGTTTTTGTTTCATTCTCAAATTTATATTCTGGAGAATTTACAATTACCCGAAGAAAACTGGAAAAATACAGCCAAAACTGTTTATTCTGGACTGGAAAATCCAAGGACGGAAAGATTAGTTTTAGAAATATTAAAGTGATTTTTTCACTGTTCTTGAGAGATGTTGCATGCCAACTTTAATCTCTAGTGGCGCGATTACACTTGGTCGTTATCCCGAATACTAGTGCCAATGGAATTCGGGTAAATGACTAAGAGTAAATGAACGAAGTCCAGTACGGCCGTATTATATATTTCTTTTTGTTTACCCGACATCGTCTTCCAGCCCCTATTCCAGTGGAAATATTACTTCAGATGCCCGAATTCGAGTAATGTCTTTCGTGCACCCGAATACGGGCAAACCACCAAATCAAATTGCGGGATTACAATATTTATTTTCAAAACATTTTTAAATATCAAGACACTAGGAAATTTTATTACCTACCAACTACAATGTTTTCAATTTCAATAACCACGATTTTATCTTATATGTACATATAAATGTTCGTTAAATAATTTAACAAATATTTATTTACGTGTCTATTACAGCGTACCTCAGAAATGACAAAATGATTTGATTCGTCATTCAGTTACGTGTCATATTATTCTATTGATATCGCAAAGAAAGTGACAGTATCTACTTTAATGAAACTTAAAACCTAATTAACTGCTCTGAGCGTGTTCGTATATCGTCATAACGCACTGGCGTCACTTTATATGTAGTGGACAGGCGGAAAACCAAATTAAGAGCAGCAAACGCGAGAACTGGCACAAACGGTTGTGCTTAGAAAAATTCAAGCTCAAATCATGTTGAAGGTAGAAGATAAAAAATAATAAAAAACTCACCAGTCTCATTTGCAGTAACGTTGAATCTGACAGTACCACTATCGGAGTCTAAAGCCTCTAGTACAACCAGTTGCGGAAGGCCACCGTCGTAGCCAGCAACGCATCGCACCACCAATGAGTCACCAACATCCTCGTGATTCTCTTCAATCCAGTTGGAAAGATTGCCTGCTGACACCGTACAGTTTCTAGGTGGCGACGGGCGAGCTAGTACGAAATATTCAAATTCAATAGAACAATTATCATCACCAGTTAAAGTCTACCGGGTCTCTTACATAGGGCCTGTGCCCCTAAAGAAGTCGACTTCAAATACTAATTTTACTAAAGATAAAAAAGGTTTATTATTTTCCGTACTTCATTTTTTTCGGCGTCTTAATTTTTTTGGTAAAATGGCATTTATTTTTTATTTTACAGTTTGCGATTTACTAAAAAGTGTGTAAATATTTACCAGCCGGAACTATTTGGAAGACACAAGGCTGCTCCTGCCGGCCTACCGAGTTTGTTCCTCTGCACGTCAAGGCTCCGTAGTCTCTCTCACTTGCTGGGGTGTATCGAAGCTCGCTTATACTGCCATTTACGGCACCTAACAGGAAAGATTTTGTGTTTCTTATAAGTTCTTTCGGCACCAGAATATAATTTCTTTTAGTGAAAAATGTCGGGAAGCAGATTTGTTTTTTATAGTATAATCGCTTGAATGTATTTTACGTTGAAAGCGTAGAAATAATTACATTCATTAATTCTTTTAGCTTGCGATAACCTTTTAATGGAGATAATGAAAATATTTTTGTGAATTATTTTTATTTGGAACGTCTTTTTCGATAAAGTAAACATAAAAAATCTAAACTACACATACCTATATGACATACTATCTATACATATAATAAAATGGTATGAGAGTCAAAACTGTACATTGAATATTTTTTAAAAGAATACTTGGGGTGTGCTCTACAATCGATACCGAAGCCAAAAATATAGTTTTAAGAATATCTGTATGTCCGGGATAAACTCAAAAAGTACTGCATGGATTTACTTCAAATTTGGCACGAATATTATTAAGAAGTCGGGTCAACATATAGGCTACCTATAGGGAACGAGCAGTGAACCTTTATTTTTAACTAACTTCACGCGTGCGAAGTCGCGGGCGGCCGCTAGTATAACATACGACGGTGATTAGGGAACTAATATTTGCATCTATCACACAAGGCCTTGCTAGCATCCGAACTCAGGATCAGCCGATCGCAAATCCAATTGTATGAGTACCATTTTCATACTCACCATATCTTGCTGGAGAAACGTTAAAACTTTCGCCGCTATTATTGAACTGCCAGAGAAAAGTGACATCAGAAGGGTCAGCATGGACCGAGCACCGAACGTGCAACGCCTCATCCAATGCAGCTCCAACCACCTGGGGTGACAATTCTCCACAGACCGGGGCATCTAAAAAAGAAACTTCATACTTAAAATTTGCTACGAATACTACTTAGAGAAGTGGGGCAGAGCGGTTGGTTCTGCGTCGCTCCCCTTCCTGGGGGACGATCGCTTCCGATGAAGCCTTAGAGGCCTTCCCGGCCAGAGGCAGCCCCTACGTGTGCTTTTTAGTTAGTTCGAGTCTGACATAACCTTGCAACCGGCTGTAGGGATTTCTCACCCGCTCCCCCGCCTGGGAGGAAACAAATAAAAAAAGCGATTGTCTCGAATCGAAGTGTCCATCTAGAGAAGAAACCTCTTCTTTATAAAAGATAATAGTGTCATAATACTTCTTTTTGGTGTTTTTTTTTTATACTAAAGGGGGCTTACGAGCTAACAGCTCACCTGATGGTAAGTGATCACCGTAGCCCATAGTGCAACACTAGGAGTATCACAAATGTGATGCTCCTTTAAGGAAGGAGTACGCTCTGTTTTGAAGGTTTTCGGGTCGTATTGGTCCGGACACTGCCGGCGAAAATTTATTCCACAGATTTGTCGTACGTGTTAATAATTTTTGACTAAATCGCACGATTGTGGACAGCCACGCATCAATATGATGGAGATTTTTTTTATCGCTTGGCGAAAAGCAGCAGCTGGAATTAATTCGAACAATTCGGTAGTGTTGCGTTTGTACCGATGAGTAAAGGAATACCGTTTATAGATTAAAGCGCTTGCTTACCATCAGGCCGACCATATGCTTTTTTCCCATCCCTTTTACATAAATAAATTACTTAACAGGTGAAATTAAGCGACACAAAATGCTTATTTGGAGTTTTATTAACGTTTTTTTTTTAAAAAAGTCTATTTTCACAGTTTATTCAGAACGAATACGATCGAACTCCAAAGTTGAACACGTCTGAAAAGAAAGAAAATAACAAGTATATATTATGTAGTGCATGTAATACACAGAAAAAAAGTTTAACGGGCGCTCTCTCTCATGATATTTTAGATGTCATTCATTTATTCGATAATAGGCTATTTGACAAGTTTTTGAAAACGTTCATACGTTATTATTTTTTTCAAATATGCCTCAGAAACGTTTCACTAGCAAATATGGCGCCTTACAGGTAGGTGACGTCACACGGCTCTCATTATAACATCAAACAGTACCCATAGCCCGAGATTCGGCCGCAAAATTCTGCACCCATCTGTTTTTTTTTATGAAACCTAATGTAAAGAAATAATTCGTGAGATTACATTGCATTATTCATGGGTTCCCAAAAAAAGTAGCCGCAAATACCTTCAAATTTAATTTAGTGACAACCATTTTTTTTATGAAAATTGCATCCATATGTTCTTTTGATAAAATGTATGTCATGTCAAAGGAAATGATGTGGAGAATTCCAAAAACATGGGTTGCCATCGCTCAATTAGCCGTAACCTTAGGGTTGCCACGTGTAAACAGGTGCATTTTTCAACCCAATTTGGGTTGAAAAATGCACCTGTCATGTTAAATACACTGCCAACAATATGGTACTTTAGTTTTCATACTGTCAAATAACCTATTATCTCCGCGCGACCATGGAACTTCACTCTTTGGTAGAAACACAACACGTCCCAAATATAGTGTTTCATGGTAATTTCACACGTATGTATATTGCAGAAATAAAATACTACATAAGATTATGCTGCAGTTTTTGAGTAACGAGAGATATGAGCCTGCATTTTCTTCAAGCAGATAATAATATGTTATGTAAAAGTATGGCACTTTTCCTAAAAATAGTATAAACTATTTTTCTATTCGGGGTTTATACTATTTTTATATTCGGAGAAGAGAGTGTTTTCTGGAACACCAGAGAATGGACTACTATGCAAGCGTGGAAGAACAATTTCATTTAGCACAAAATAAGGAAAAACGAAGGTGATAACCAACCTTCAGTGGGCGCTTTCCTCATCGGCTCGGTGAGGGCTAGTTCCGTTTTTGTTTCTATACCGAATCTTTACAGATTATTTACCGAAGGCATGTTATTAAGAGTTCCTCACTGAGCACTTTCGGTATAGATACTTTGTCGAGCGGCTACAAAGCTCTCTGTACCGAGTGCACGTTATCAAATGAGCGCTTCCTCACCGACTAGTTTTGATACTGATTCTTTACCAAGCGGATACACAGCTCTCTGTATCGAGTGTTACCGAGGGCTGCCGACTGCTACCAAACCATTCGACTCGCCCTTCCCGTCTCTCCCGCGAACAAAACCCTGGCAAACCAAACGAAGCAATACCGTTCCCAAACCAAGCCGGTCAAGAGGACGTGGTTTTTGGTTAAGAAAAATATCACTCGCTCCGTTACCTACTCTAACCCAAACCTCTACCCTGTAGAGCCCTGGAACCTTACTTACTGACAGAAATACAACACCAACAAAGGTTAGTGATATTTTACTGTTTTCTTGACATCCCCAGACAGATGCTCCATTCAAGCGGAAAATTCTCTCGTTATTTATATTTAATATTTATGCCACAACTTCGACTAGTTCGTGATATAATATTTGGTGGAAGTTAACTAACTATTTTGCCTATTTATTAAGTTTATAAATTATATAACTGATGTTTAATCACCCCATAAGGTACACCCGATAACGTTAATAGTATAAATATTTTATTAACAACTTAAACCTCATGTCTATAAATTGTTACCAGTATTAATAAGATTTAGGTAACTGGAGAGTACAATAATGTGTGACGTGAAACATGATAAGTGAAATACGTTAAAATATTCACCGGAGCCTATGAAATAGTAAGGATTTAATTTCTACTACACCAAGCGAATAATTTTCAACCACTACATTTGGAAAGGGAACACTCTCTAAGCCATACATTATGTACAATCGCATGGGAATTATAAACCAGGCTCACACTATTAGACACGTGGGGCTGATAAGATGGAAGCAATTAACATAAGAGTATTTATTACGTGAGGGGATTCCTTATAATTACACACGAAAGTTGCAATTAGATTAATAAACTTTCGAAACAGATTTTCACAGAACTTCGACATTTAACACACACATGGATGACAAACTATGGTATTGCTGTGCTACTAATAATTAAAAAAGTATTTGAAATGTAAATATAAATTTTCGTACCCATTTATAATAATCGCGGCACATAAATTTTCGTATCCATTTCGTATCCAAAAAGCTTCAGTGATTATACACTGAAGCTTTTTCATATAATCACTGAAGCTTTTTTTTCCTTTTGTAAAAGAGTACATACAACCTTTGCCATATCCATATCTTTAAAAATAGCAGTGTCACTTGTGATGATGTGAGGACTCTAACGGATATCCTTTATAGACGCAGCGCATACCAGGAAAGATGCGGCGAAGATACCCGCGGTACGGTGACTCCGAGCGCGGGCAAGAGTCATGGAGTGGCGCGCGACAACTTTAAACGTGGACTAGAGCCTACAGAGCCTACAGAGCTATGCGCTGCTGGCTCTTTTCTATGTTTGCCATGAGTTTTTTAAACGTATCTATACATGAATTTAAGGGTTTAACTGAAATCGTTGACCTCTCAGTTTTATTGCCACGCCTCTCCTGTTGTGCACTGCGCCATAAGGTACAACCACATCTGTTTAGATATTAAGAAATTGCATTAGAATAAAATAAAATACAATAGGGTATTTGACAGTATTAGAAATAAAGTGCCAATTGTTAGCATCTGTGTTTAGAATGAATATTGGGAGGGGTTTTTACTATTTTCACAATCAAATATTCATAATTTTACTAAAAACCCACGAAAAAATAATAGTTTTCTTATCTATTGTCACGTGACCCAAAAGGCTTGGGATTGGCGGAGCTTGAAATGACGTCACACGCAAGTAAACTTCCGGTTAAAGTGACATTAAATTGTATCGTTTGACGTTTTAATAACAGTCGTGTGACGTCACACACTAGTATGACGCCATATAGTCCAGAAAACGTTTTCGCGGCAACTTGAAAATGGAGTTTTTCATTTGGTTATTTTTACTGAAATACACAACAGAATGATGAATATCCACTTCTTACGGACTCCATAAACATTAGTCAATAGCGTACGATCGTTTTCTAAAACTTGGCAAATACCCTATTAAGTATTACCCCCTGTTCCCAGTAGTCTGACCGAGTGGTTTTACCAGTTGAACTACTGGGAATTTGTTTCTCAATAGACTTACTGATAGTAAGACTTCTCTGATGTTATTTTAACCCATTAGTGTTACTTCATCAAAATTGATAGACATCTCATAAGGATCAGTATTGATTGTAATCCGGAGCTTTATTAAGCTTAAGAGAAAAAAGATGCATTTTTTTTCCAAATGACAAACAATTCTTCTTTTTTTAACCCTTTTCATTACCAGAACCTTGTAGTTATATATGGTCTCCTGGTACTTTTTTATGCTGCCCGTGTCTTTCACTTCGCAGCATATTGAATTCCGAGCGAATTAAAAGATTCTTGATTTATCTTGGGCCATAGATTGAAGTTCACAAACTATGTAGGTATTTTTTCAATTACCTCTCTACCAGGTCTACATAAGAGTAGGACTATTAGGAGCTTTATTTTACTGGTAAGTCTACTGGTTACAAAGTTCCCAGTGGTCTTACTAGTAAGTCTATTGTGAAGGAAATTCCCAGTAGTTCAACTGGTAAGACTGCTCGGTAGGGCTAATTGGGAACAGGGGAGAATTATACTAATCATAAGGAGTTCTATGACGCAGGTGGTTAGCAAGTTCCGCCTGCGATCGTGGAAGTAAAGCAACTTTCGCAACGATCGGTCATTAGATGAGTGACCAAAAACTTATTATGTCGAGCTCCTCCGTGCTTCAGAAGGCACGGAAAGCCGTTAGTCACGGCTGCATCTGCAGTCGTTAGCACCCACCAATACGCACTGGGCCTGCATGGTGGGTCACGGCCCAATCTCCCCATTCCATCTATAGGGAACTTTAATAGAAGTGGGGACATTAATAGGCTTATGATGGTGATGAAGAATTATACATGA